CGAGTTGCTATATTCTATTACTATTATAATCGCGTATAAAATATGCAAGGAACGTGTAACATAAAAATTATTTTACCATGCGAAAATTCATTTTTATCAATTAGTTATTTTATTATACAAATATCCAATTTTCACTTATTAATTTTTCCATAAAATTCGAAACTCGAAGTACACATCGACGGAAATTCTACTTTCACATAATACTTTCTCAATTTCTCAGAAATTTCCACTTCGAATTTAACAAAATTATTTCTCCATTGCCCATTACGATTCTCGAAAAATCATAGACTCGTAATCATCCTTCTCAATTTTCCAACAAAATTATTTCTCCATTGCCTCTTACGATTGTCGAAAAATCTGAAACTCGAAATCATCCTCGTCGTTAGTTTTTCGTTACGACGGATGGCACGCACGTTTAATCGCGGTTTCCAAGTGAAAGCGGAGATCTCTGGAAGAAAAATGCGCGTAGGATGCGATTAATCATCCGTGTATGTTGCATCCTGCATGCATGCCGATCACCTTCACCGAATGCAAACGCACCGAGTTACGAGAACGTCTCTATCCCAGCCTCTGGAGACCGAGGAGGAGCTCGAGGTGTCTCGACTCGACGTCGATCTCCTGGAAAAGAGGTTCCAGCGGAATTACAGCCGCGTTAGCGCTACAAATTGGAACACGATTAATTGTTCCAGGTAAAGAGAAGGTGTTTCGTTTTAATAATACTGGTCAGGCGAAGCATGGTGGATGGCTGTTCGTAGAAAATGAAATCGCGTGTGTTCGACGAGAAAACCACTTGGAATTAGCAAAACGAGGAAGCAGTTGAGCAACCGGCATGGCTGAAGGAAAGTTTCGTTTTCGTGTAACTCTGCTTCGGTATAATTGGTGGACTGTTGTTCGTAGGAATTAGGAGAATGAGTGCTTCGAGCTGTGAGACTCCATTTGAGTCTTCATTATAATTATTACGAGTCTAGACAGGGCAGACTTGCAAGCTTCTTTTCAGCCAGGTTAAATTAGAGTTTGAGAGATTTTTCTCCCGCTTTGGGATAATTTTTGCCATTGATTATTTTAAATATATAATATGGATATAATATATAATAACTTCGGTTACTATTACAATTGATAACGATTTAATTTATTTCCTAATTTAGTGTACAACGTTATCAATAATCTTCAGGAATAAATTATTAGAGCGCTGTAATTAGGTCTCTGATATTAAATTATTAAAATCATCCCTCAATCCACAAGATACCAAAATATTAATATTAATATAAATTATAAATAAAACAATCATTCAACCAGATCATTTTTTTAATTAGAGAAAATGATTACTATTTCATATCAATAATAATTTTCCAAATTACTCTATTTATTTCAAAATTCTTTATACTGTAAAACTAAAACTAAAAATATTTCTCAGGAATAAATTATTGGATCGTTGTAATTAGATCTTCGATATTAAATTATTATAATCATCCCTCGCTCCACAAGATACCATAGTATTAATAGTCGAAACAATCAATTCATCATTCAACCAAATCATTTTCTTAATTAATGAAAATAACTATTATTTCATATCAATACTAATTTTCCTAATTACTTTACTTATTTCGAAATTCTTTATACTGTAAAACTAAAACTAAAAATAATCTTCAGGAATAAATTATTGAATCGTTGTAATTAGATCTTCGATATTAAATTATTAAAATCATCCCTCAATCCACAAGATACCAAAATATTAATATTAATATAAGTTATAAATAAAACAATCATTCAACCAGATCATTTTTTTAATTAGAGAAAATGATTACTATTTCATATCAATAATAATTTTCCAAATTACTCTATTTATTTCAAAATTCTGTATACTGTAAAACTAAAACTAAAAATAATTCTCAGGAATAAATTATTGGATCGTTGTAATTAGATCTTCGATATTAAATTATTATAATCATCCCTCAATCCACAAGATACCATGATATTAATAGTCGAAACAATCAATTCATCATTCAACCAAATCATTTTCTTAATTAATGAAAATGATTATTATTTCATATGAATACTAATTTTCCAAATTACTCTACTTATTTCAAAATTCCTTATACTATAAAACTAAAACTAAAAATAATCCTCAGAAATAAATTATTAAATAGTTGTAATTAGATCTCCGATATTAAATTATTATAATCATCCCTCAATCCACGAGATACGAAAATGCCAATAATTAACACAATCAATAATCATTTTCTCAATTAAAGAAAATGACTACTATCTCATATCAATACTAATTTTCCAAATTACTCTACTCGTTTCAAAATTCTTTATACCATAAAACTGTTTAGAAATTCTTTTTAATCAGCTAAGTCAGTAAACTACGAACATCTTATGAAAGGAACATGAACAAAGCGATTCTCGCAAAACAATCATAACCAACGAACGTCATCACGTTTCAATCAGTCACCCATTTGCCCGCAGAATGCCGAAGATGCACGAGGAAAAGGCATCCGTGGCGTTCCTCTCGCGTTACGTCTCCCCAACGTCCTCCAGATCGGCTTTCAGCGCGGGACGCCGGTTTTAAACTCGGTTGCAGAAGGAAACGAAGCACCTTAGGCGGTGAAGCGAGCAGAGTCAACGGTACTTCTCGGAACGAAATTACACGTACTCATAGTACGCGCCGCGTTGATTACATAATCGGCGCGCGCGCGCCGCGGCGATCGGAGGAAACGCCGCGGCGCGGCGCTGCGGTCGCCGCTGGCCGGCCGGCGGCCATGTTAGTGGCCGTAGAGAAACGTTGGCTCTCCCGCGGCAGATGCATAACCCACTATCCGTTCCTTCCTCTCGTCCTTTCCTCTTCCCTTCCGAGCCCGCTTCCCTCTTCTTCCTCGCGCGTTTCCATTTTTCCTCCCTCTTCTCTCAGTTCGAACTTCTTGCCGACGATCGACGTTCAGGAAGCATGTAATGCGATTCGAGATCACTGCACTCGGCGTTATTTCACGAGCTGCGAGCCCCGAACGATGCCTGAAACGCATTCGTTGAAACGTACCACGAGGATCCCCAGCGACGTTCAGGCGAACAGGTTCTTTTTAATGTTTCTGCGTTGCTGGAATTCGCCGAGCGTGTTCACGGCTGACTTCGCGTTGCTTTATGGCAAGCGTGGTTCAGTTGTGCTGATGGAGGGTGGTTTCCAGCTGTCCAGTGGAAGCTTCCACTTCCTTGTCGATCTTGCGATTCCTTTCAGATTTTTACAAACTTTTTCCAGCTTTGTAACAAGTACTTAGCGCTCCAGGTTCATTTTCAGAAGGCTGGAATCTTTTAACTGTTATTCCACTCTTCTTATTCCCAGTATTTTCTAATATTTATCCTCATTTTTCAAATATCTTCCAATTCTTTTTATTTCTATTATTCTTCAACCTTATAACCTTGTATCTGCTCCTAGATTTCAAAATATCATTCTCAATGATCATTATATATATATACAAAATAGGTCACCTAACTTGGAAACATTTACTTTTCTTCAGAAAATTTGTATTCCATTAGAAAATCAAAATTCTTTTGAGCCACTGAATTAATCTCGGTGCCCACTAAAGAAAATGATAGTGTTTTAAAAATGTTCAAAGTGACCTTGAGAATTTTTCTTCTTAAATCAATCGTCATCCTTCGGAAGATTCTTCTAAATCGTATCACTCGTGCCAAAAAATTTGCATTCCTCGCTAGTTACGAAAATAACCAAGTTTACACTTAGTGCACCTAAGTGATGCACCTAAGGTGAGGTTAGGTGTATTAATGATCACACTTGCGAGTATATCAACATGTTTTCGTGCCATCCACGCATATTTTCACGGACACCGGATTACCATTTACTCCGTATGCCCAATCCCGTGATGATACACAGGTGGGGTTAAGCATCCGTGACCATAGTGCGATGACGATTCGTCAGATGGCAGGAATCACGGCATAGATCACGTCCACGACAACCGTACGGATTAGTCAGCCGTAGAATGTGAATGTACAAGCGTTTTCCGTCGATAAGCGACATCCGAAGGCAGTTCTCCAGGGCGCAGTCGTTTGCCTTCAACGGCTGCGACCCCATTCGTGGCATACCTTTCGCCCCTTCACCCGTCCACCCCCTCTTGCTGCCAAGCTGATTCAATACTTTTGCCTCCACGCAACGTTGCCTTCCTTTTTTTTCTCATTTCTCTTCTCCTTTCCTTCCCCCCTCTCTCACTCTCTCTCTTTCTCTCTTTCCTTCTTTCATTCCGAAGGAAGACGCTTGCGTAACCGTGACCAGGTTTCGAGTTCTCCGAGATGGCTATGAGGTTCGGATCGAGGCTATATGGGATACTGGTAACATCCTTCTGCTGCAGATTTCTTGCGCCAATGGCACTCCACAGAGACTGTGTGTAAGAGGAAGTGGAGGATTGATCATCCTTTTTGGGGCTGTTTACTCGGGACCAAATGGCTCGCTGATTTAGGCATCGAATTATAGGGTTCGAAAATTCAAAATGACGGATAATAGGAATTTTTGAGATGGAAATTTTTATTTCCTGTGGATTTTGATTTTTGAGTGATTAATTTGGAAGTAGGGTTGTTTATTTGGAGATTAAAGGGAAATTATTTAATTCGAAAATTTGAAAATTGACGATGACGAATGACAGAGACTTTTTGACATCTTTGGTTTACAATTTAAAGGCAAAAATTTTTTGAATATCGAGAATTTTGGAAAAATTTGGATCGTTAGATTTATTTTTGAATCCTTGCAATAGGGATAGATAAATCAGGAATTTGGATGATATATGACACCGATTATTATAATACTCATTCATCTTTATTTAAAATAAATAATTAATATATTACAATATCATTCTCACGTCGTCCCCGTAATAAATAATTTTAATACATCTATACCATGGCACTGACGAATAAATTATTAAATAAATAGGAGATTCTCTAGATTGTCTTACGTAAATTCGATTTTTGATTTATAAAGAGATTGGTAAAGTGACCTATTACAGCTTAGCAAATTTCTCAAATTCACAGTCGACGAATGCACGATGGCAAGTCACGTTGGATTTCTCTAAAGTTATCAATGGTTTATCGTCCCTTAAAATCATCCATATCAAGTTGTTTATCCTGACTATGTAGAAATTGTCTTGTTTGGGAATTATGGGCTCGTCTGTGACTATAGTTTCGTTGCTGACGCTTCCTGAAGAGTATCCCATGGATTTGCACAAGTCTAACGCATCCTCGTCAGATGTTAGAGGATTCCGAAAGCACTCTGAGTGCCATACACCATAACTTTGTCGAACCACTTCCCCAGAATTATAGCTGAAATCGAGAAATGAAAATTACATTTCTCTTTCATGGAAACATTAGATATATTAATGGACAAATAAAGACAATTTTGACAATTGTTTAGAGGTACATTAGGTACATTAATATATAATTAATTGTTAAATATTGGACTGTACAGTCAAGTGAAATTTTGATTCTTAGAAAATAAATAATAAATAGATAAATAAATAAATAATAAATAATTTAGAATTACTATGACGATACGATATAAAGAAAATATATAAAGGGAAATATTTAAATGGAAATATTACAACTATAGTGGATAAGAAAGTAAATAAATGTAGGTAATAAGTACCTATCGTTTTGATAATTTGAGATCAACTTTCTGCACGATTTTTCGTCTGTGCCATCCAAGCAGTCATTCGTTCCATCGCAAATAAAGTCTTTTGGGATGCACGTGTCATATCCACTTAACCTATCAAAGTGAAAAAGTCGATTGTAATAAATTCAAATTAAGTTATCTCGCTCGAACTTAGCCCTAACTCAGTCGCGCCATCTAGGACTTAAAGATACGTGCTAATATCTAAGTTTTAGTATGTTATTTATATTAAAGTCTCAGACATCGTATTTATACACTGATACTATTGTCCAAAAAGTAGTTTTTGCAGATTTATTTTTAATAACAATTAATAAATCTAGAAAAATATTAGATTAATTAAATGTAATAACAGGATTCTCACGTTTTACACTTGAAGCTCGACTCTGTGCATGGGCACATCTCGGGTGATTCGTCAGTCTTATCCAAACAATGGCGTACACCGTCGCATATTCGTTCTGGAGCTGTGAGTTTCAGGTACTCCGCGCAGGTACATGTCATAGGTTCATCTAAGCCATCGAAGCAATCGAGCTGTCCATCGCAAAACGCACTTTTGTCGACGCATTTCCCATTTTTGCAACGAAACTCAGTCTTCTTGCAATCTTCCACAAATACATTAATTTAGTTATGCGAATATTAATTATTTAAACAATCGTTTCCTTCAAATTCTTAATATTTGAGACTTCATTAAAATTGTTGTATAATCCTGACTTTAAATCTGAATACTTTTTAAATTTTCATGTCCTTGTCTCCTTTATTTAATTTATTATGTTAAATAAATCAAAAATATTTTACTTATTTCAACACTTACTGCATCCATCCACGCTATTTTCGCAATTTTTGCGGTATCTTTCGTAATATTCCGGATCTTCGTCTTCCTGGTCTCGACAATCCGGAACACCGTCGTAGATCCGATTTTGCGGAATGCATTGGCCAAGTTTGCATAGGAAACCATTGCAATTCGGTTCGATCGGCTTCCTTGGATCGTCTGTCAAATTGGAGGATACTTTAATACCTACAACTTAAATTATTTTTGAAATTGTTGTAGAGTTAAATATGAATTTACCCATTGCTTCTATCAGATAGGGATTTACGTAATCTATGCTCGTCATATTTTGCGTATCCTTGAAGTTGCACAGTCCTTCGTTATCTTGGAAGACAGCTGCGGGGTACCAGCCTTTCTTGCCACGACAGAATATCGTGCCACTCCATTTTGACTTCTGACTTTCCTAAAAGAAGAATCGATATTTAAATTTTTGGATTTTCGTAATTCTTATTCTTGAAATGTTTGAAATTATTAAGAACGAAGTATAGAATATTATAGTAATCAAAGGGATCATTTGTAACGAGGTATAAGTAGTAAAATATTTAATTTGGAAAATCTACTTTTTAATTAAAATTAATTTACCGAACAATCGGAATCCGTAATATTGAAGAAGCATCTTTGACAACTTGGACAATCCTGCAAAACAGGTCTCAAGAAAGTTGATTTGGTCTCATAATTTTCGTTCGTTCCAACAGCTACACAGGTATCCGTTGCACCTGATAGATAGATCCTGTAAATATTTAATAAATATATGTAAAAGTTCTTCAAATAAATTTTTCATATTTTCCAAAATATGGTTACCTTTTATCGACGAATATTGGTTGCACGTGTCGACTGAAATGAACTTTATTTTTCAAGTGTAGTAAAATGGACACAGAATTGTTCATACGATGCACTTCATCGATGATCGATATTTGTTGATGGGGCCCATCGACGTGTCGAAACGATGCACCATAACCGATTATGGCAGTCGTATAATCTTTCTTCAGACTGAAAATAATTCGCAAATATTACTCGCTCAAACAAAAACAATATCAATAATACCGAATTTTAAAACTTAACACTGCGATAAAATTTTCTATCAATTAATTACAGGATTACCGATTATATAATAATTCTAAGTTCGGTAAAATACGAATACTTAAATTCTCACACACAAGCACATCAAGACACACCTATGTATAATATATAAAACTCAACAAACTTTAAAAACTAAGCACTTAGAAGTGCAACTTAAAGTCGTAAATGAGAGAAAATTCACGTGGAATTCTTTCAAAGTTGAATTAAAAAATTTCGGAGTTTTAATTAATGTTTTACCACGCTTGAGAAAGATATACGATTGCAGTGGTCGAAATGGATACGGTTACCTGACGTTCTCGAGGCATTTCGCGGCGGAGAGTAGCCAGTCGGGGTCGAGCAGCAGCGCCGCGCAGCGGTAGCGTCCGTTAACAAAGATGGCGGCCGTCCAGGGCCACAGGTAGTCGCGGTCTCCGGTGCTCCCGTCGATAGCCAAGTGCGCGTTTATACTGCCGTTCAGAGTCGGTGCGCAGCGAACGTAGAGACCCAAACAGGTTTCGCTTTCTTTGCTCAGAGAGGCCGCTGGCGAGTTCTCTTGGTACGTAGAGCTCCCCTTACGCATGGCTACCGTTTCGAGCGTGGAGTTCTTCACGACGATGGACTTAGTCGAGTGTAGATATCTTTAAATGAAAAATAAATAACGTCCGCAATATTTTATCACTATTATCTTTTTTTTTTTTTGTAGATTTCTTTAAATAAAAAGTTATCTTTTCTTATTCTCTTTTATATTAGTAGATTTTTAGGAGATTTTTTAAATAAAAATTTATGAATTTAATGATGGAAAATGGAGCATTAGAATATCTTGAATATTTCATTTTAGATAATTTTGTTCTGATAGGATTGTCGAAAACCTCAAGTGTGTTTTTAAACTATATAATTTAAATTGCTTGATGATTTTAGCGTCACTTTAGGACTACGTATTATACAGTTTTTAATCATTATGCTTAGGCAATTATACTTACGAGAAACCAAAATACTCGCACATATTTTTCCCAATAAGTGTGGCCGTGGATTGATTTCGATGAATTCTTGGTCGATGACAACTCGGCCGCCATTTTCCATCGATGTATTTGGTCAGAAATCCTTCCTGGTTTAGGAATGGTCGCTTATCTCCGTCCAAGTACACGTGCTGACCATCAGTCAACGTGACTGCAAAAAACAAATTGAATTTCGAACTTCGACAAAAGCGATATTAGAAATGAAGAATACAAAATGGTGGCTCACAGCAGTCAAGTTCGTCTTCCTTAAACTTGCAGTCGAAATTTCCGTTGCACTTCTTCGACATCGGAATGCACGTCTCGCTGGTCTTACAGAGGAACTCATCCTGCTCACAGAGTGCTGTGGAACAAGCATCGATTAATTTTCTATTTTAATACCAAGTCAGAAGTTCATCGGTGTTTACCACAATCCTGTTCGTCTGTTAGGTCATCGCAGTCAGCGTAACCATCGCAAATGGCACTTGGGTTCAGGTTCTGCAGGTATTCCTTGCAGGTACAGTTCATTTCGTCGGTACTGTCCTCGCAATCCACTACCCTGTTGCATCTCTCTTCGATAGGGATACTTTGAAGCAGTCTGTGAATTTAATGAACATAACAATTTTTGTGAAACGAGCACTACCGATTTAAACATAATTTTTATTACATTTATGAAAATATTTGTAGCATATGTGTATATTATTTAAGTAAGGTTGAACGAAGAACGTGGTTGGTTAAAGAGTGATGTATGTAAGAAGGAAAGACAATGCAAAATAGTTCTAAACTAGTCTTCTCGAGATTTGCTTTAACCCCTCGCTACCTAGCTTCATAGAACACTCCTGTCTCTCTAGATGATCATCCCTTTGCTTTCCTAATTGTTCTCAAAATTACCCTCAACCCTTCAATTGCCAAAAATATTGCAGACCCATTGGTAGACTGTCAACGAAGGTTTTCGTCTTGCCCACTCATTTTCACTCGCTTTCCCTTTAAGCCCCTTTTTCGTTCGGGGCCCTTAAGCTTACGGTACTGTATATTTTTCTTTCATTATTTTCTTTTATTATTTATTTAATAAATAAGATTGACGACAAAGGGAAAAGAAAATTTTAAGAGCCCAACATCTGGGATTAAATATTTTAGTGTAATAAGCTATTTTCCTATATTTCAAAATATCAAAATGTCCATCTTTTTTCAGGATGAAACATTTTGGAATCTTCTATTATAATTGGAATACCTTGTGCAGGTGAATATTGTAGAAAACAGTGTTGGTGCCAACGTCGAGTCACTGTCAGTATAATTAGGATCAGGACTAGTTATGCTGGTCAAAGTTGCCAAAGTCATGCTACCATCGTCATCGAATCCCAAGACACTGTTTCTAGCCTCAGCAGACACAGATGTGTCAGTAGTATCGTCGATTGCATTGTTCAGTAAAGTGTGATCTGAAAGCAATTGACAGGAATATCGTTAGATCTGTTAAAAACTAGAAGCTCTTAATAGAGACCTACCAGTCCTGGGAATTTCTTCAGACGTCGAGGAATTGGCTGTTTTCATTAATGAATCATCGATTGTATTGTTAATTAAGGTCTGATCTGAAAGCAATTGACACGAATATCGTAGAACTGTTAAAAATTGGAAGCTTTTAAGAGACCTACCAGTGCTGAGAATTTCCTCAGACGGCGAGGAATTAGCTGTTTTCATTAGTAAAGCATCTTCGAAGTCGGAAGCGTTGTTTGCTAATCGTCTGTAGATTGGATAATAGTCTCGACATTTGACTTCGTCTTCGCCGTCCAGACAATCGACTATTCCGTTGCAGCGCGCCTCGATTGGCAAACATTTGCCTAGACCCCCTTCGCAGCTGAACCCTGGACACTTTTCCAGAGGTGTGCGTCTCAGAGGAGGCACTCCTCGACCACCTAAGGAACAGAAACGAGAATTCAATGAGAAAGATAGTGTGCTGAAATGTAACAGGAATGAGAAATGTGAAAGAGGCTTGGGATTATCTTAAAGGGTTCGTTTGGATTATATGCCAAGAAACCTGGATAGAGGAGAAAAATGCCAAAGAGACGATTAAAGGCCTAGATAAGAACTACAATTGATAGATGCAAAGTGCAATAATAGTTGAAGCAAGGGGCAGAGTGAAGGGGTGGAAGGCAGCTGTTAGGAATAAGTTTAGAATAGTTAAGTTAAAGAATAGTTAATCGTCTGTGCCCCAAGCAGCGCGATCGCGCTTTACAGTCGAAGTGGTGCGCTCAACTTTGCTGACGCACGTACGTCACATAGCACCAAGTGCTATTGCGACGATTGGGATTTTACGACATAAAATTAAACAAGCGCTATCGCGCCGTTTGCACTTCTTCGCACTCGATTAAGGCGTTTTTTCACGGTTTTTCAACCGTGTTCTTCCGAAAGTCTCAAGCGCTGCATGGGACTCAAACGGTTAAAGACGTGACTCACTGATAAGTTCTTGAATCCAGTCCAGGAAGTAGCTAACTCTCGTATAGGCACCTGGCTCATCCGGCCGACCGCAGCCTTCGCCGTGACTAACAACGCCTGCCACGTACCATTGCGATTTCGAGTAGGGATTTCTGAGAATGAATCACGAGAGATGATCAAAGTCTCGATCACTGAGAACACCTGGACTATCTCTAAAGTATCACTAAACTCTATATCGAATGTAATACTGTACGTGATTGTACAGTAGAGGCCTCAGAAGATGACTGACAGCTGCGATTGACAACCGATCAGTGGGTTAGCCTAATCGCGTGACAAGACAGTCACTATCTCTAACTTGATACGTGTGCACAACGCGTGACGAAGAAAGTAAAGCGTACGCGTTGTACAGAGGCACTCTTGTCTATGAACTGTCTAGACCTGTGATGGCGAGACTTTTAAGCTCTATGTGTCAAAATTCATATAGAACCTAGCTTAACCCAGGTGCTGTGTCACATCGAGAAATATCCATAATTTATAATGAGAATAATTGTTATATAGCAGATAAACTATCATACGAGTGCGTGCAAGTGCACGCAAGGACGCAAGTGATAAGGGAAGAAAAAGCAGCGCGTGTTGACAGTTATTAGACGATTACCGTGTCACCTTTGATACTCGTGTCATAGATTCGTCATTACTAGTCTAGACTGCCTTCGCCTCAGCTCTCTATAGTACCTGCAGAGTAAAGGACCCCCACTGTCTCCTTGACAGGCGTCACGACCTCCTTGAGGATAGCCAGCGCAAATGGCAGCCTCGTTCTGATCAATCCAATGCTTGCAATATGACAATATCGGTACCTCTACTTCTCTCAAGTGGTCAGCTAGAAAATTCAAGATTTATCCCAACTTGACATCATCTGCCAAGCTCGGTCTGCAATGAAATTTAGGTTGACTAAGTGTCTTACGATCTGGTCCATGTTCTCTAGTAGCGCCCCAGCCAATTGCTATGCAAGTAGAATTAGGCTCCGGTTTGTTTCTCCACATGGTACCTAGGATTTCCGGTCCAGGGAGGCAAATGGGTCGTACCCATCTATTAAAACGCAGAGGATCATCCAGCATGATCATACCAATGTCGTTATTCATGTCTTTGCTATTGTACCGAGGATGCATCACCGCGTAGCGTGCTCTCTTGGTCTGTGACATGGGTGAGAACGAAAATTTGCCTGGATCTCGAAATAGTGGCCTGTGTAGCTGTGACAAATGGATCACGTGATTACCATCAATGGATCAACGGGAATTTGACTGACATCTAAAATTCCGTGTCCAAACTTTCTACAAGCACTCACCCATCGAGACAATGCGCCGCAGTGAGCACCCATAGTTCATTCAGAATGACACCTCCGCAATAGAAAAGGCCGTCCTTATAAATGGCCACCAAGAATGGCCAAGCTTTCGGTTGACTCGCACGACCCCCGACAACACGCAACTGCGACGCAACCAGGTCATCCTGATCCTTCCCGATCTTGCTTCCACCGAACCTTGGGTCTATCCCGCTCGCTGTCAGCGGCCACACGATCTCATCGAGGATCTGCGAATAGTCTTGACCTTCCCTCTGCAACAGCTGCGGTTGTAGCATGTCCTTGTGAGGGAATATGCTGGTTCCACACGAGAAGCTTGGACAACGCACGAAAATCGCCTTGTTCATGCAAGATGAGATCAGCTCCATCTGACCGTTCACCTCGGCGAGATACGGACCTAGGTACGCGTTGTCTGGCACAGAGCGGATGTTTATCTCTGGGGTCTCGCTGTAATGGGAGTTGCAAGAAGCTTGGAATTAATGGCAGTTTAACAGCGGGACTATTGAATTATGCTTAACCTAACGAGACGAGTCAGGAAAGTGAAAAAGTAAATAATTTATGAGGAACCTGTGTAGCAAGAGATGACAGACATGTCACTATACTTCGATTATTACGATCTATGTATGCCATGGTTGTATAAATGTTACAAAATTGAGGATATAAGTACTCATTGCTGGAGCCTGTCTCAGGAGCACAGGCATCCCTGGCCCAGGACTTGGACGCTGTGCACACGGGGTACCATTGGCCCTTCAAGTTCTTGTGAAGGTACCCTTCGATGTAGCCAATAGAGTATGCCTGAGAAATAGGATTATAGAATAGACCCAGATGATGTTCCTAGTTGAAAAGAGACATTGCATTCGTGACTTACATTCTTTCCTTCGATATACGAGGGAGTGAGAACACTGCAGTCCATTTCGTCCTTCCCGTTGGCACACTGCTTTATTCCGTCGCATCTCTGGGAAAGTGGCACGCAGTTATCAGGAGAGTATCGCTTTTGCCAATCATTACAACTGAACGAAGTTTTTGGGCAACCTGGCGTGAGTAAAATAGGAATTAAATAAGGAAGAACTGGAGTTCCAGAGTTCTAGCATCCTACAGTTCTAGAATTCTCTATGTCCCAAGTTCTGAAGTTCCTGTGATCAGTGACGAAGCTAGGGATCCTCACCCAAGCATCCCATTTCGTCTTCGCCATGCGGACAGTCGAAGTACCCATCGCAAAGCCGTTCCTGGGATATGCGGTCTTTGCAGGAGCACGTGGTCTCATCACTTGCATCTTTGCAATCCACCTGACCGTCACACCATTTGTACCTCAGGATACAGTGTCTTTCCCCTTTACACTTAATCGCGTTAGAGGGACATTCATTGGTATAGCCTAATGTCAAACAAGATTGTCAAGCAAACGGAACGAATCAAAATATCATTGAGATAGTCTCTATGGATTATGGATTATGGCTAGTCTATGGATTAAGACGCATCCTCACCATAGATCACTTTCAGATCATCACGTGATTCCTCAGTCTCGTTCTTGTCATACGCAACGGAGGATCTCTGATACTCCGAGACCCCAGGAATAGCTGGAAATTGGAAAGTAGGGGCAGGAATGTACGTGCAATAGTAAGGCATTTTATTGTTAGAGTTTCCAGAGCCACTAGGGGACATCTGGCCAGGGAATATCGGGAAATTGGGGGTTGCAGGACCGGTGGGTCCAACTTTCTGCCCACCAGCCTGTCCCGAGTTCCCGGGGAGGGATTGCATTGGCATGAACTGGACAGACTGTGCCTGCACCTGAACATAACTCGGTGCCTGATTGGAGTTCTGGTAACCTTGTCTCTGCTGAGACATAGGCATCTGATACGAGGCTCCTGGAGACGAAGCTGGGTACATGATTTGACCTGGTCCTGACTGTTTCACCGCACTGCTGGCTGCTGGGCCGTAGAAGCAGACCTGGTAAGGCAGCCAGGACATGGTGGGCGTCAGTTGCAATTGTTGAGTGGACTTTATCGTCTCTGCCGTGGGCATAGTGCCTGGCACTGGCATCCCGTTCGTGACGATTCTCGGTCGGAGGTCACGGAAGATTGGCTTCGAACCTTTTCGTGCTGAAATTGAGAATCTTATTGAGGTGTCTATAATCCTCTCAATTTCACTTATCTACTGGGGTCAGTACCCAAAAATAATTTCGATCTCTGCTCAGCTACTGACTGTGATCACTGTCATAATCTATGTATGCTATTCGATATCATGGGACTTAGTTTGACCCAGTTTAGGCCTGTCAAGACCTAACGTGTTCCACTGATGCTCATGATAGTTAGAACGGATTTAATCCCTGTCAACTGTCAACTGAGACCTGACACTTTCGATTCTCGAACACGGTAACCAAGTGATAAATAATGCAACTGTCGTTTTCACCTTCCCTTTCCGGCTCGTTCAGCTTGCCGTGACCTTGACTCGAAGGTTGCACGGGGTTGATCGCGATTTCCATCACGTTGTCGGTGTCTGGTTTGTCTGTCACGTTCAGGGCAGCCGCAGTCCGCTCTGTATCAGCAATTCTGCTCGTTTGGGCCACTGATTCTTCCGCCTTCAGCGTCGTCCGTGCACTCGTCGTATTAATGGCTTCCCTGGAATCCTTCCTCGATGCATATTCCATTCTTCCGTTCGTCGAAGTTCTGCAGACGATAATCAACACGTGATAATAATCGATAGCGACGACTCCCTATTTTTTCAAATTCAATCGATGAATTGAACAATTGGCAATGACAGACCATCTTTCTTCCTTCAAAAATCAATGAAATTGGCAACAGAAAAATTCTTCAAATAAACATTGTGCCCAAAACTACGAAATTGTAACCGAAGCAAGAATTATCATAAACATCCTAACCTAGCAAATTGCAAAGTTCCATTTTCAAGTGTATAGTACTTGCAACAACCCTTCTGAGTAGTATGAAAGAGACTATACTCACGTAGACAAGGTCGTCTCTAACTCCTTTGCTCTCTGATCTGACTTCCCTCCATGACTATCGAGACCACCATTAGCCATCTTTGTAGGTCCCTCAGCATGCTCTTCTAACCTATTCAACCTCAAAGTGGTCGATTCTAAGACACTGTTAGTGGGATTATGCTTGTCGTCGTGTGTCTGGTCGTTCAACAAATTACTGACAACGTCGACATTGTTCTTGATCTGATCGTGATCAGAGTGCTCATGAATTATTCGTTGCTCAGTAGCAAGGTTCTCTGGACCTGTCTCATCGATGAACCTGATCGAATCGTTCTTGCACTGTAGACACTCGACCAATTCGACCAATTTCGACTTGGAGGACTTCGTGTCTGTCGAATGGTCCCTCAGGAAACCTTGCAAGTAGGGCATGCTGCTGTTCACGATGCCCACTATGCTCCACATAGAGTCAATCACACCCTGGCAGTGCTCTATGTTTTGTTGACAAGGACTTGTCTTGACATCTCGTTTCGGACGACTCTGGTCTGTTTGTAGGATAATTGACAGCAGTTGGGAACTCGGATGATCGAGTTGGTTGGTGAGCAAGTGTCGATACACAGTTTTGGGGTTTGATTGTGATGTTTGCTCCTCTGGCAGAGGTTCGATGATCAGAGGAGGTTGGTCCTGGCTGGATTCGATTGTTTTAAACACTGGATTCACGTATGCTGTTGGAAATCGAAGTGTTGTTGACGTTAACACGAGGATAATTCGTGAAAGATTTTTATTTTTGGGTCCTAATAGTGTACTTAAGATAGGGATAGAGTATAGAGTGATTATTAGTTGTACGTGGATTTTATTTATTGATTAATAATAATAAATGGTAATAAATGAAATATCTGAATCTTAATTTTTGATAAGTATAATATTGTAATATTAGTATCGTCCAAAACAAAAATTTTGAGTGTGTTTAATTGGACTGCAATCAGTGGTCTACCAAAGGAGCTTCACGTACCTGACACAGCGGTCAAATATATCAGGAATCCAGCGAAACAGAAGATTAGTATAGCTAGCAAACTTTGGACAAGGTTCATCAGTCTGCAACGTTTAAGAAAATTCCATCGACCACGTCTGTTTTTACTCGTGGAATGCTCTGGAATTAGAATTCGAAATTAGAATTTCATACGCTCGTTCGAGCATCAATGAGGAATCAATGATAGAGAATTATCAGTGGATCGTCGTACCGATCTTCGAGTTTGCTAACTTCACGCAGCACTGGTCCTTTATCATCGACACATTGCCTAATTTCGAGGCAAGGATCTTGTTCTCCAAATTCATGGTGCAAAACTAGTGGGAACCTAGATGGAAAAAGACAATTTTATGGAAAAAAGTTCTATGATGGTCTGTAATTATTTCTTTCTCCAAAAATATTGTAACTACTCAATAATTTACACTCTGAAGAAATATTAATTACAAAAATGTTATGAACACATATACACATTTACAAAATCATCACATCATCATCATTCTAATGAAAAGAAAAGTTTGGAAGGACGTGTCGAAATTTTTCTCTCAACTAACTTCTCAGCTCAGGATTTTATCAATCCGTCAAAAAATAAATATCGAAAATGGCTGCTCTGTTTCACCCTAACATACAAGCAGTTAAAAATAGCGTATCGTTACTGAATACCCTAATAACCTAACTAAGCAATTCGAAGAACTAAGAAGGTGATCCTTCCTCGATGTTTCTAGCGTTTCAAGTTTCAAGTTTCCATCCTCGAATGCAAGGCGTTTTGCATCGTTCGCTGTTCTAGCTTCCGGCAAAGTGGCCCCAGGAAGAGGAAGAGGTACTCACGATGGTTAGGTCTCAGAACGTCTCTCTTCGTCGAGTCGTTTCCATTCGATGGACCGTGGATATCCACTGCGATGCAGCCTCGATGCGTTCCTGCAAAAGTTGTCTGTTGCAAATGGTCCGTGCACTCGATGCCACCGACGTGAAATAACCCTCAGCCTGCCATACAACGCAGCAGATACTAGCGTGTCAGCAATACGGGTGAAACGAAAATCAGGCTGAGAGATTTCGTCATGGCAGTAGGGTGAACGAACCCTTCTATGCATTGTTCGCTGAATCGAGAATTTGATTGTTCCTATTGTTCTCTTCTTCTGTCTTTGAGCAGTCGAATTGGTAGATAGATGTAGGTAGGGAGAGAGAGAGAGAGGTGTGGATGATTGGCTGGGTTAATTGATGGGAACTTTGGAGGTTATACTATGAAAATATTTGAGTTAGGATGGTTTGACAGAAGAGTGGGTAGTTTTGCAGATAAATGGGGAAATTGATGGAGAGATATGTAAGTTAGATACTACTGAATAGATGAGAGGATTAGATACATAGTTTAGGCTAAGTGGATTGTTAGGACAATAGATGGATTTACTATGTATGTGAGAAAATGGAGAGATTTAGGGGTAGGTAAGATAGTTTGTATGTAGAGTTATGTGAATGGAGATGGAGAAAATGAGAAGACCATATGGGTAGATAGATAGGTGATTAAGGAAATAGATGAAAGTGTTACATGTGAGAAAATAGAGCGGCTTAAGAATGATTCAGGTATCTTGTGTTATGAAAGAATTTGTGTTAAGATGGATACATAGACTAGGTGGATACATGAATGGTTGAGAAAATAGGTGAACTCATTGTGTGCAGGAAAATAAAGGAATCTGTGTGTACGTGGGATAATTTGTGTCATGGAAATGTCTAGGTTAAGATGAATAAGTGGATAGGTGGAATTTATGGGTAGGTAAGAACATGGATGACTGGAGAAATATTGTAGATAGATTTATTACATATAAGGAAATAGAAGGACTTGTGAACAAATATGGGTGATCAAGAGATTGGTACGTAAGTAAGAGAACAAGTGGGTTTATGAATTAATAGGATAGTTATGCGGATAGATGAATGGATATGGAGATGAATGGTCTTATGTCATCATAGTATAATAATAGTATGGTAATATATAATAGTTGGGAATATACACAGTTTCATGCATAAATAACAGAAAGAATGAACTGGGAAGTAGATGTAAAACTTAATAATAGAAATAGAAGTAGAAAAATAAATGAAATTAATCACACGTGGAAAAATAAAGAGACTATTAAGCATTGGAAAAATGAATCAATTTATCCATGAATAGGAAAGGAAATGAACTACTGATATACAGCAAAAATAAATGAATATACAAACAAGTAGAGAAATAAATACAATTTAATATGTAAATATAAATACATTTTATACATTCAAGTATGAATTGATCAAGCTTAAAATATTTTATCTACGCAGGAAAATAAGTAGATTTATGGATAGACAGGGAAAACATTGATGTAGAAACAGGTAAAAGAAAAATGGATTTACAGATGGTTAGCCAAATGGTTTCACTTTTCCTTCCTTCTTTTCTTTTATTTTATTGTGAAATCACTTGTTTCGCAAACTGAAGCGAATACTTGGCGAACCAAAGCTCTATTTCTCATCGTTATTTTCACCACATTTCTGAATGTAATAAGATACCCAAGTGTCATCGATTTTGCTAATTATTGCGTACACGCAGACCCCTGAAATGCACAGACCTTGCACATATTTCACGATGAAAAACGATCAGGCACGTCGTTTATTACATCTACCCACATGATTGCTATGAGTAAAACACGCAAAAGTAATTTTTCACAAATAATTATCGATATATAATATTTCTACCGAATATTCCATATTAAAATATTATTTTGGAATAATTTTAAAATTCCTATAAATTAAAACAAATCGTAATTATAGTAACTAATGAGATTCTGCGTGGAAAAATTTTCTTTTCCGAGTAATTGGATAAACAAATTTACAGAATTATCATATAATGGAATAAATATAATGTTAAATATAATTAAACGGAAAGTTTCGTGATTTCTAGACAGGTTATTAATCGAGAAAAAGAGGATAGGTTAATTTCATGTTAATTTCACGTTAATTTCAATAAACGTGACTAATAACCAAAGTTCAACTTTCGAACAAAAATGGCCAACGAGGGTTATGAATAAAATGAAGACACAAGGGAAACAGAGCGAAAACGGAGTGAACTTTCACGGTGTACAGGCTGTTTCATTATGTGTGAAACCTGTTCCACCGAAGCATTCGATATAAAAGGAAGGACAGTAAAAGTTTAACGAGTTAAAGAGCCACGAAAGCTCACTCGTTCTCTAATAATTAACCTATTCAGTCACGCTTCGAACTTAGCAGCTTATTACCGAGACTCACTGTTAACCGAACAGTCTACGCAACCATTTTACAGCTCGATGAGTGTAAAACAGTTGTGAAAGCGAGCTACGAACTGCAAGATAGAACCAAATCTCATAAAATTAGAAGGAACGGTGTTACATTGTTTGTCCACCAAAGATGGAACGCTCTATACGTACCCAAATTATATATAGTCAGAGAAACTTTGCGCGTTTGATAGATTCAGTGTCCCAATAATTTCTAAATTATACATTATGAATTTTCATGAAATTTTATTGTATGTTGTAGTATAATTTTGTAACATGAGGTATTGAAAAAATAAAATAGCACGATAATTATAAATTCATATATTCTAAAAATAATTTATTATTCAGGAACCGTAACGAATATTCATCACATATTTATATATTATTATAGGTATATGTTATATACATTATATACGAATATTACGAACACCAAATCCTGTTATTAATAGTTTTCCAAAATATCCAAGCACCCAAATCCATATGTCAGGAAAATAATTTATTATTCAGGAACCGTAACAAATATTCATCATATATTAATATATTATTATAGGTATATGTTACGTACATTATATACAAATTTTAGAAACACTAAATTCTATTATTAATATTTTTCACAAAATACCCAAGTACCCAAATCCATATGTCAGGAAAATAATTTATTATTCAGGAACCGTAACGAATATTCATCACATATTTATATATCATTATAGGTATATGTTACGTACATTATATACATATATTACGAATACCAAATCCTGTTATTAATATTTTTCTAAAATATCCAAGCACCCAAATCAATATGTCAGGAAAATAATTTATTATTCAGGAACCATAACAAATATTCATCATATATTTATATATTGTTATAGGTATATGTTACATACATTAAATACGAATATTACGAATAGCAAATCCTATTATTAATATTTTTCCAAAAGACCCAAGACCTTGAATTAGTATGTCAGGAAAATAATTTATTATTCAGGAACCGTAACAAATATTCATCATATATTTATATATTATTATAGGTATATGTTACGTACATTATATACAAATTTTAGAAACACTAAATTCTATTATTAATATTTTTCCAAAATATTCAAGCACCCAAATCAATATGTCAGGAAAATAATTTATTATTCAGGAACCGTAACAAATATTCATCATATATTTATATATCATTATAGGTATATGTTACATACATTATATACGAATATTACGAATACCAAATCCTGTTATTAATATTTTTCCAAAAGACTCAAGAGCTCGAATTAGTACGTCAGGAAAATAATTTATTATTCAGGAACCATAACAAATATTCATCATATATTTATATATTATTATAGGTATATGTTCTGTATATTATATACATATATTACGAACACCAAATCCTACTATTAATATTTTTCCAAAATACCTATGCACCCAAATCAAAATGTCATAAAAATATGTCATATAATTTATAATTCAGGAACCATTACAAATATATTATTATAAATATATGTTCCGTTTATTATATACAAATATTACAAGCACCAAAACCCATTTTTACTATTAATCCAAAGTACCCAAGCATCGGAATCTCTGCTGCAATTGGTCACCCGTAAGAGTGACCCGCATTTCATCCAAGAGTATCCCAATCGATCCTCGCTCTCCACCGCCTCGATCAATGTCACCAATTCCAAGGTTAACAGGGAAGAAGCCGTGGCTGGAGCCGGTTCGATTACGTGGAAATTATTTCAGCCGATGTAACCCAAAGCATTGCGCAACCCTCGATGTTATTCTGTTACTTTCTCCAGCCGAGCGGTCTACAGCTCTACTGTCGATCGACGAGAGTGACAGTCCACGTTCTATCGCTAGTCCACGAACTAGATCCCTCGAAATCGTCCGTCGAACTCCATTCTCTCATACCCACTCGTCTCCTCTCTGAAAAATCCTCGGAAACCTCGAGGAACCCATCGAAATTCTCGTTCAGTCGTCATACCTGAGGCTAGGACTGTTCCAGAGTGATCCATCAGTGTTATGCTAATCATACGTGA